CAGAGAGAATGACGTGGGAAGCAGACTGAGAAAACTCTTTACAGTCCTTCCTAATGCGTGGTCAAACTTCAAACTCTACAGTTACCTTCTGCTCCATCCTTCTCAGAGTTGGGTGTCGGAAATCAAAAGAGAGGAAAACACAAGGTACTTCCATGACCCCGAAACACAACCAGGAGTGGAAGATCATTTGCCTCCAGTTCGTGGCTCCGACAGCTGCCCTCACAGTGGCAAGGTAGGCCCTTCTGGTTTGTGGGATGGGGGGTGTTGATGGGGACAAGGGTGGTGGCTGTGGCTTACAGGGACCTATATCCCTGTCTGGTCAGAGTAAACCACTGTGATGTAAGTGTGTAGGGTTTCCCTCTTCTGGTAACTCCTGGTTACTCCTCTTCTCCTCCTCTCTTTTCCTCTCATTCCTTCCCTCCCCCTTTCTCTTCTCTCTCTCTCTCTTTTTTATTTTTGGTGTGGTACTAGAGTTTACTTGGGACCTCACACTCGGCGAGGACTGTACCCCTGAGCTGTGGCTCTGCACCTCTTTGACTTTTTATTTTGAGACAGTGTCTCCCTCGGTGTTCTGGGCTGGCTTTGAATTTGTGACCCTCCTTCCTTATCTTCCCAAATAGCTGAGATTACAGGCTTGTGCCATCAGGCCCGGCTGCCCTCTTGTGTAACTAGATCTGATCGTTTGGTGATGGAAACAAATCTACCTTTTCTCAAGGCTTGCGTTTTGGGGTCAACAGCTTTCATCTTTTCCCTTTGCTACTCTGGCCAGTTTTTAAGAGCATGAGAGATGTGGCTCAGTGTTTGGGACTTTCAGAGAACACTTGTGCCCGTCTGGTAGAGGTCAGTGACTGTCACCGTGTAAGTCAGCTGACTGCCCATGTGCAGTAGCACACACAGTTTAAGCACGTGGAGATGGCCCTTCGCGCCTTAGTGCGTGTCTTCTCGGTTTCCGTTCTTTTGTAGGTGGTCCCTATTTGGTCTTGCAAATCACCCCTTTTTGACTCAAGGGTCACAAAGAAAGGATCTGTTGGAAGTCCAAGTCCCTCTTGTCCACTTAAAGTCAAATCTAGACTTTTAACACCCGATCACCTTGCTATTTCTGACAGGATGACTACCCAAGGCTTTCTTTCCATTTTGTGTTCCTGTTATTCTTGTGTTTTGTTATTGTTAACTTACATTTATTTATTATTTTGTTTTATTTATTTTTTTTTTGATGATTGTCTTCCTATGTAGCCCTGACCGGCCTGGACCTTACTATATAGACCAGGCTGTTCTTAAATTCACAGGCAATCTGCCTGCCTCTGCCTCCCAAGTGCTGGGATTAAAGGTGTGCACCACCATGCCTGGCTATTTATCTTTTATCTTGTATACACACACACACACACACACACACACACACACACACACACACACACACACGTTTGGGGACATGCTTATGCCACAGTATGCGTGTGCAGGTCAGATCTGGCAGGGTGGGTTCTTTCCTTCTACCTTATAGATTCGGGAGACTGAGCTTAGATCTTTAGGCTTGGCAGCAAGCACATTTTCCCACTGAGCCATCTAACTGGCCCCTCAATTTTTCTAGACTCTTCAGTTGTATTTCCAGATCACGTTCCATCACTCTGTTCTCTGATAATTTACCTTCCTAGACCTCTTTGCTCCTCGTTAGGGGTTACACAGGTAGTGGGGGATGCTGCGGTCTGTAACCAATGAATGCTGAGTTACTAATGGAGCACTGTGGGCTAAGTCTGTGCCCTAAACCATAACAACATAGAATACTTGACCTGGCCTTGATTTTTGTTTGTTTATTTATTTATTTTTAGGTGTTTTTGTTTTTTGTTTTTTTGAGACCAGGGTTTCTTTGTGTGGCCCTGGCTGTCCTAGAACTCGCTCTGTAGACCAGGCTAGCCTGGAACACACAGAGATCCACCTGCTTCTGCCTCCTGAATGCTGGGATTAAAGGTGTGCACCATCACCACTCAGCTTTATTTTTTTTAAAGATTTATTATTTATTTTATTTTATGTGTATGTGTCTTTTGCTTGCATACTGTATATTATTTATTTTATTTTATGTGTATGTGTCTTTTGCTTGCATACTGTATATTATTTATTTTATTTTATGTGTATGTGATTTTTGCTTGCATACTGTATATTATTTATTTTTATTTTATGTGTATGTGTCTTTTGCTTGCGTACTGTATATTATTTATTTTATTTTATGTGTATGTGACTTTTGCTTGCATATTGTATATTATTTATTTTTATTTTATGTGTATGTGTCTTTTGCTTGCATACTGTATGCATGCAGTGCCTATAGAGGGCAGAAGAGGGTGTCAGATCTCCTAGAACTGGAGTTACAAACAGTTGTGAGCTGCCATGTGGGTGCTGGGACTCAAACCTGGGTCTTCTGGAAGAGCAGCCAATGTGCCAGAGAGACATCTCTGTAGCCCTTGACCCGTCCTCTAAAGAGCTTTTTATAGATGGACTTTTCTTTCCTGCCTGCCAGTTCCCAAATAACCGAGATGGAGACTTAATATTAACTACAAATGCTCAGCCAATAGCTCAGTCTTATTACTAACTAGTTCTTACAACTTAACTTAACCCACTTATATTAATCTACATTCTGCCACATGGCATTACCTGTCTTTCATCTTGCACCTCCTGTTTCCTCTTCGTGTCTTGCTGGCAACACCTCTGACTCTGCCCTTCTTTACCCAGTGTCCTTAGTCTGGCCCTTCTGCCTAACGTTATCCTGTCCAGCTATTATTGGCCAGTCAGCTTCTTTATTAAACCAATCATAGTGTAATTTACACAGTGTGCAGAATGATTATTCTATAGCAGCTTATAATCCACTGGTGTAGACAGATGAGCAGCACAGTGATTCTCAGCTTGGATTCCAGGGAATCCCAAGGTCAATGCTGTATTCCTTTGTTTTCCTTTGATATAGAGTTATGCTATATTGCCCAGGCTGGCCTGGAATTCTTTCATCCAAGTGATCCCTCTGCCTCAACCTCTTGAGTAGCTGGGATTTTAGGTGTGTACCACCACATCCAGCAGTGCTGTCTGAAAGAATAGTATTAGTGCCTCAGCTTTCCCACTGTCTTGACGTTGGCATTGAGAATAAAACTGCTGTGGCTTAGCTTGAATCAAGGCAGGGTACCAGTACACCTGGTGAATAAAACGACCAGTTGAATATGGTGACACCTTTGGGACAACAGTAAATTGTTTTGTTAAATATGAAACCCTAAGGACATGTACTTTTAGTTTTGTTTTGTTTTTTTGTTTTGGGTTTTGTTGTTGTTGTTTTATTTTTTGGGTTTTTTGAGACAGAGTTTCTCTGTGTAGCCCTGGCTGTCCTGGAACTCACTTTGTAGACCAGGCTGGCCTTGAACTCAGAGATCCCCCTGCCTCTGCCTCCTGAGTCTTGGGATCAAAGGCGTGCACCAGCACTGCCTGTGATTTTACTGTTGTGTGTGAAAAGCTGAGAAGTATGCAGAAAGCCTTGCACTGAGCAGGAAATACAGTTTTATTATGCATCTCAACAAAAGTACTGTGGGCCAGCAAGATAGCTCGGCTGGTAAAGTACCTGCCTCCGAGTCTGATGACCTGAGTTCAATTCCAGGGACCCACATGGTGGAAAGAGAGATTTTTTTTTAATTAAATTTAATTTAATTTATGTTTGCCTGCACGTGCACCATATGCATGCCTGGTGCCTGCAGAAGTCCAAAGAAAGCATCAAATCCCCGGAACCCGAGTTAGCCTCTGGGTGGGTGCTGGGAACCGAACTCAGGGGTTTGGGAAGAATCACAAGTGCTCTTAACCTCAGAGGCATCTCTCCAACCAAGAAAGAGCCAGCTCTTGAGAGTTGTACACACACACACACACACACACACACACACACACACACACACACGCACAATGTATTTTTATTCTTGAAACGGAATATATATTTCACATGGGGATGTTGAAGAACCACATAAGAATTTGAGTACCCGCAGTTTCTTTCTCTGAAAAATTTTTTAGATTTATTTATTTTATATGTGTTTTACCTACATGTGAATATGTGCACAATACACGTGCATGTTGCCCAAGGAGGTCAGAAGAGGATGTAAGAGCCTCTGGAACTGGAGTTACTAGTGCTGCGAGCCACCAAGCAGGAGCTGGGAACTGAACTTGGGTCCTCAGCAAGAGTTGCCAGTGTTCTTATCTGTTGAGCCATCGTTCCAGCCCTAGTACTCCAGTGTCTGTCTCTACAGCCTTTTTTTTTTTAATTAAGAGATTTTCTATTCATTTTTTTCCTTTGAGTATTCATTTTTAATGCTTCCTCAAAAATTATATTAAACAACTCTATGATAAGATACATATGAACTTTGATACAACAAAAAGGTACTGATTTTCCATATAGACTTTTTCTTTGATAATGAATGAGATGAGAATCATTCAGATGGCTTTATTTAGAGATGCTGCATGGGCTGCCTTAAATGTTAACTGGATTGCTAGGACTGCTAAGATCTAGGTGATTTCATTAACTCCTAGAAACTCAAATTAGAAGCAAGGATGATATGAGCAGGTAATGGCAGTTAGGACAGGAAAAGTAATCAGAATCCATTTCAGTGATATACCTGTAGAGTGTGAGAAAGTTCTGTTTCTTCTATTCATTCACAGACAATGGCTTGTTACCTTCCAGATGATTTAAAAAGAGTTTAATAAGTATAATAAAGTGAAAAATATGAATATTTTCATAAAAAACGTTGCTCTCATTACCGTCCTCTCTAAGGTTCACCACACAGTTCCCTGCTTCCCAACAGCATCATTCTTTTAGTTGATCAAGAGAAAGCTCTTGTGTCAGCCTGACTCATCCATTTGCTTTGAAGCTCACATCCAGTTTTCTATTCATTTTACATATCAACCTCAGTTCCCCTCTCCTCCCTCCTCCCACCCCCAAGCCTCCCCCCCAACCCACCCCCCATTCCCACCTCCTCCAAGGCGAGGGTTGCACCACTTGTTTTAGTCTCTAACAAACTGGTTGGCTTAAAACAAAAGAACGTATGGTGATATTTTATTTGTATTAAAATGTTATTTGTATGTTAATAAATAAAGTTGCCCCAGGGGTCAGAGCTATTAGCAAGCCATAGGAAAGCCGGGTGGTGGTGGCGTATGCTTGTAATCCCAGCATTTGGTAGGCAGAGCTAGGTAAGTCTCTATGTGTTCAGGGATGCAGCCAGCATTGGATACACATGCCTTTAATCTCAATACCAACCATAGAAGACCTGGAGGTCTATACAGACAGGCAGTGACAAGGCGGTCATGTGGTTGGGTTTACAACCAATGAGAAGGCAGAACAGAAAGTCTATATAAAGACTTTAACACAGGAAGTAGCTCTCTTTCAAAGAAGTAGGACTATCGCAGGAGGAAGGGTAAGGTTTTTGTTCTTAGCTCTGACCTCTTGGCTTTCTTCTTTGCATTGGTTCTGTGTTTCTTATTTAATAAGACGGTTGGTTACATCTACAAGAATGTGTTTTACAGTTCCAGAGGGTGGAAGTCTACGGCCAGGGCATTGGCAGGCATGCTTCTGAAACCTGGAGGGGAGGATCCCTCCTTGCTCTTCCGGCTGCTGGTATTGCTGGCCATCCTCGGCTAACAGCTGAATCTGGTGTCTCCCTTCTTCTTCACAGCTCCCCTCTCCTGGTACACTCCTCTGGTAGCACCGTGTGGTGTGTTCCAGGAGATCACGTCACCTCAGCCTATTGTGCTTTGCTCCTGGTGCAGAACCTGCCTGCTTCCCCATCATCAGCAATGGGTCTGGGACCTAGTTTGGGCCACTTTGCCCCTGAACAGCTCCTTGGAGCCCTTTCCTGTAGTTTCTCTGAGGGATGGAAGGGGGAGGGCTGCTCTTTTGCTCTCTCCGATGAGGCCTTGGTGGTTATAAACCTAGACTTCGGTGCCCATATCTTCTGCTACATGGAGAAAGCACGTAGTCATCAGTGGGATAAGCTCAGCAGGCAGGGAGTGCAGCATGTCGGGAAGAGCAGAGGCTGGAGAAGAGATGGCAAGCCTTCAGCGGCAGCCCCGGCGTCCAGCGGCATCCTCGGTTTGGCTGTGACCCGCTTTGGTTTTGTTTGTTTGTTGTCTGTCAGGACACACAAAAGAGCCCTGACCAATATCGCGAAATCGCTTTTCTTGTTTCTCTAAATGCCTCGGCTCTGAAAGAGTGAAGGAATTCAGTGTTATTTTCATTTTAAGAAATTTAAATTTAATGCTCACACGTGAGTTTTCAAATATTATATATGTCCTAAAAACCTGTGAGACTGTCCTCAGGATTAACTACAAATTTGAAATCCTGTCTCTTACCTCAGTATTTTACTATGTGGTGATAGTGGAGTTGTTTGACCTCAAGAGGACTTGTTGTTTGGGTCCACTGCATTTGTATGTCTTACTCCCATGGTTCACAGTGCACTCCTAATAAACCCTGGGGGTCTCACTGGAAGTATCTCACGAAGTGTGATGTTATTCTTTCAGGAAACATCTTCTAGAAGTAATCCAGTTAAGACGAAAATTCCAAGGGCTTATGCAGAGTGGGATAAGTATGTTTCATATTTCTTAATTTAAAATTTGTCTCTGAAAAATTGTCTACCATTAGATTCTATAATTTAAAATATCATAAACCTGATAAATCAAGTGTATCAAATTACTTTAATAAAGTTACCATTTTACCAAATACTTCCTACCCACCCCCCCATTCTTGTTTCTTTTGAGACAGGGTCTCTCACCATGTGACTCAGGCTGGCCTCAAACTCAGAAGTCCCCTGCCTCAGTCTTCCAGTTTCAATAATAACAAGCATGTATTGCCACACTTGGCTAGTCTAAGCACTTTTAATTTCTTTTTTTTTCATTAATAATATCTTTTCTTGGGGCTAGAGAGATGGCTCAGAGGTTAAGAGCACTGACTGCTCTTCCAAAGGACCCAGGTTCAATTCCCAGCACCCACATAGCAGTTCGCAACTGTTTATAACTCAGGCTCCAGGGCATCTGACACCCTCACACGGACCTACACGTAGGCAAAACACCAATGCACATACAATAAAAAGATAAATTAAAAAAATAATACCTTTTCTGTGTCCTTTTAATTATAAAACCAACCACAAAACAGATTAGATTTAAGTTTGATGTTGGCTTTGTTGTTGTTTGTTTGTTTTTTTTTTTCTTTTTAAGACAGGGTTTCTCTGTGCAACCCTGGCTGTCCTGGAACTCACTCTGTAAACCAGGCTGGTCTTGAACTCTCAGAGATCCACCTGCCTCTGCCTCCCAGCACTGGGATTATGAGTGGTGCCACTGTGTCAGCAATTGCTTATCTTAAGAAGGAATGCAGACGAGTTGAGGGCAAACCTCTGAGGAACATTCTGCATAAGAGCATGGACACAGTACAAGTTGACATTGTAACACAAAAATCAAAATCCACATGTCCCCAAATCTGAAACTCTTACACTGCCGGTGGATAATTCCACCCATGAAACTTCAGAAAATTAGTTAAAGTATTATATGAAACTATGCTTAGGTTACTTGTATGTGAAGCAGGCATGAGTGTCGTATTTGAACTTGTGGATTCCCCACAGACCTCATGTGGTATATGCAGATATTTGCTAGCACACATTTAATCCCAGCACTCAGAAGGCAGAAGCAGGCAGATCTCTGAGTTCAAGGCCAGCTTGGTCTGCAGAATGGGTTCCAGGACAGGGCTACACAGTGAACCCTGTCTGGAAAAACAAGCAAACAAAAACCACAAACAAACAAACAAAACAAACCCAGCAAATCTCAACTCCAATACAAAGTCTGTCCCAAGCGTTTCATCTTCAGATACAGGAGTGAGTCTTCTTTCTTATTGTAGCATGCTGTTCATTTTTTCCTCATTTTGGTTGTTCTTTCAGATTTGATGTGGAAAAAGAATGTTCAAAAATTGATGAAGATTACAAAGAAAAGGCTATAGTAAACAACAGGGCTCATTTGTCTAAAATTGAGACAAAAATAGACACAGCAGGTAATGAGAGAAAACGGGAGTTGTCCTTTTCCAACCTTTTAATTACGATAAGGACTTGTCAGCCTAGGAAACATCACCTTTGAGCACTGTTGACTTCCACTAAAGTTTGTAGATTTTTGGCCAGAGTTGACCACTCCTAACAAACTTATTTCTGTCTTTAATTACTCAATTTTGTTTGAGACAGGGTCTCATGTAGCCCAGCTTGGCCTTGAACTCCACATGTAGCCAGTGATGACCTTGGCCTTCTGATCTTTCTGCCTCTTTTATCCAAGTGCTGGGATTACAGTTGTGTACCACTGTGCCTGGCCATAATAATGTTTGCATACAAACCTATTTTCCTCAGAATATTCTTTTGTTTTCCATTTCCTATTTTCAATCCTCTTCCTTTAAAACTTCTCATGTTTTTCTTTTGCATCAACAGAAGAAGTGAGACCATCTTCTGTCTGAAGTCCATACATAACCTTTAAAGTAAAGCAAACTAGTTGTAAGAAAACTAACCCTCCAAAGACTGGGAGTGATTAGAGAAGAAGAAATAGCCCTACACCCAGGAAATCTTTTGTTTTGTTTAATCTATGGCTTTCTGCTTCAGTTAGAATAAGTATTCTTGGGGTGTGGGAATGTAGCTCAATGGTAGAGTGCTTGTTGGACATACCTGAGTCCTTAGGTTCTATTTCCAGGACCGCCCTTAAGCAAAAGCTTTTAAAGGAGTTGTCTTTGGGTATGTTTTCATATGTGTTTGTTTCTAGGTCTGACTGAGAAGGAGAAGAGTTTTCTTGCCAGTCGTGAAAAGGGGAAAGGAAATGAGGCCTTCTACGCAGGGGATTATGAAGAGGCTGTGATGTATTACACCAGGCAAGTAGGTTTTCATTTCACTGTGGCTTTCTTTTGCTACCTTAGGGGCTGGAGCGATGGCTCAGTGGTTAAGAGGACTTGGCTCCTCTTCCAGAGGACCCAGGTTCAATTCCTTGTATCCCCGTGGCTACTAACAACCTGCTGTGACTCCAGTGCTGGGAATCATCCAAGTGGGTACTGGCACACATGTGGTCTCCGACATATATGCAGGCAAAGCACCCATACGTGTAAAATTAAAGTGATGTTTTAATTGTTGAAACCACATAAATAAACTGAATAGTCTATGTTGGAATCACTTTGGATATTGTACTTGTGACATCGTGGATTCTCCTCTGTGGATGTTTCCCTCCCCTCATTATCTTCTAGGACTTAGCCCACGCTTTGACTTCCTAGAGGCATCTTCCCTGACCTCCAGCCACGTTAGGTCCCTACTCTGTAACGCAGCATGCCGTCCCCTGGTTAGCCGTCCCCTGGTTAGCTGGCTCTGGGGGCAGCTCACTGTCCTTGGTAGCTCTTCTCAAAGGTACAGTTCCCACTGGTATGGTCTGGGACTGAGGCCCCGTAAGCTCCCAGGGCAGAGCCCATTGGCTTAGTCCTTTATGCCCTTGTCCCTCATTGCTTGTCTCACAGCAGGTTTTCAGTAGAGACTGTAGACAGGCTCCTCGTGGACTGTTCATTAGTACAGCCCCCCATATTTAGTCAGGTGGACATCCACCTGACACCCACATTCACCCTCCCTCCCTCTCCCCCGCTCCTTTTGCTGATAGTCTTATGAGCCCAGGTTGGCCCTGAACCTCTGATCCTCCTGCTTCCATGTTTCAGGTTCTGGGCTTACATGTGCCCACCATCTCACCCAGCTGTTGGTTTGTTTGTTTTCTTTTTTGTTGTTTATTTATTTATTTATTTGAACTTTTTTAAAAAAAATTACATTCATGATATTCATTAATTACACTCATATTAATTACATTTGTGGTATTCATTGATTACATTCGAATTATTCATTCAATAACTATATTTATGATATTCATTAATTACATTAATTGTATTGATTTATTACATTCATGATATTATGTCCTGATACTACTGTCCATTTGTGGGGCTTTTCCATCACACAAAACAGAGATTTTGTACTTAGGAAATAATTGCTCTATATTTCTTTCTTCTCCATCTTGAGATAACGTCTAATCTTTCTGTCTCTATGAATTTGTATATTCTATATATTTCATGTAATACAATTCTATAGTATTTGTCCTATTTTTAATTAATTAATTTATTTTTCTATTATCAGCTTGATACAGTATAAATTCTTATCCTAATAGTGAAATGTTTGATTGAGGCTTTGTTTGTTTGTTTTCTTGTTGTGGATTTTCTCTAGTGGAGAGTCTCCTGGCCGTTACAGGGGGTGACATTTTCCTTACCTTCTTTGGTACGGGGTCAGCTAGTTGAAGAATTTAAGCAGTATGGTCTGATGGACCAGGGAACTGAGGTCTGCTGCCATCTAGCCTTACATCTCGTGCCTTGTTTCCTCAAGGTGATAAAGCTCTAAGCATGCCACCCTCAGTGGTACTATGAGGACTAGACAGTTACTGGAGACAGCAAGCTGACTCTCTAGGCATGACTCCTGTCTGTTTTTATTATTATTTTATAATAACATTTATTATTATTATTAATAGGCATACCTGAGGTTTTCCGTGGCATGTTTTCTCCTCTTCCAAACGGGCAGAGCAGTAGCCTTGGGACACGAGCTACGTGTGTAGGATACTGAGTGCCTGCAGTAGGTGTGCTATATCGTTTTATGTCAACTTGACACAAGCTGGAGTCCCCTGAGAGGAGGGACTGTGTCTCAGCACTTTCAGTGACATAGGTTGTATTATTTAGCTAGGACTGCCGTCCCCAAATACCACAGACCTAGTGGCCTGAACAAGTCTAACAGTCCTGAAGGCTGGAAGTCTAAACTAACTCAAGGTGAAGGCAGGATTGGTTTCTTCAGAGGCCCCTGTCCTAGGCTGGCAGGTGTCTGTCTTCTTCTCTTTGCTCACATGGTGTGCCTGTCACTCTATCTGGTTCCAATCTCTTTTCATAAAGGTATCAGTTTTGTTAGACTCAAGTCCACACTAAGGACCTCATATTAACTTAATTATCTTTTTTTAAACCCTTTTGATGGTGGTGCTGGTAACGACTGGTATTATTTGTAACCTTGGCAGAATCTGGGGGCTGGGTCCCTGGGCTGCCTGTGAGGGATTATTATTTTGATTATGCTGAGTTGGGACAACCCGCCCAATGTGCCACTGTGGGGCTGCCATTCCCTGCCAAGGATCCTGGACTGTGTAAGTGGAGAAATGATGTTTCGCAGTGGTACACATTCATCTTTTTCTCCTTGACCTGCTTGTGCATGTGATGATTTCCCCACCATGATGGTCTGTATTTGAACTGTGAGCCAAAAGAAGCCTTTCTGCATTAAGTTGATTCATCACAGTGAAGGTGGTGCGGGGGGTGGACCGAGGCCAGCGCTCTGAGCTCCATCCTTGGCTTAATTATCTCTCCAAAGCCTCCGTCCAAATGTACTCATAGCCTGAGACACTGTGGGTTTAGGATTTCAACATATAAACTTTTTTTTTTTTTTAAAAAGATTTATTTATTTATTATATATACAGTGTTCTGTCTGCACATATCCCTGCAGGCCAGAAGAGGGTGCCAGATCTCATTACAGATGGTTGTGAGCCACCATGTGGTTGCTGGGAATTGAACTCAGGACCTCTGGAAGAACAAACAGTGCTCTTAACCTCTGAGCCATCTCTCCAGCCCAACATATAAACTTTTAAGGGACACAGTTCAGCCTTTATACAGCATATATTTATTTTACTTACAATTTTTACCTGTTCCTTTTACATAGCTGTCACCTAAATACCTGAGAACTATAACTTCAAGGAGGGAAATCTTTATTTTGGCTCATGAGGGTTGAACCCATGCTTGGTGGTTTGGCTGGCTCTGTTACCTTGGCTCTGAAGGGAGGCTGAACATCTTGGTGTGGGAATAAGATATTTACTTGATGGTGGGTTGTGGGAGGGGGGCGGGGATGGGGACACCCATGCACTGGGGGTGCAGGGTGAGAAGCCCATGGACACAGTCCCAGTAATTACTTTCTTCAGCTAGGCCTAGCCTCCTGATATTTCCAGAACCAGTCACCACCTATGCCTCCGGCCTGTGAGGACATTTCATATTCTAACCACAGCATAACTTTAGCTGAGTTTCTCTGTCTTTGGCCTCGCTATTGCCAATCTGTGCTTCTCTTGTAGGAGCTTATCAGCCCTTCCCACCGTGTCCGCCTATAACAACCGAGCTCAGGCGGAAATCAAATTACAGCGGTGGAGCAGCGCGCTCCAGGACTGTGAAAAGGCCTTGGAGCTGGAGCCCGGAAACGTAAAAGGTGAGCACACAGTGAGTGAGCAGCTTGTCTCACAGTCCAGGAGTCTCAGCTTTCTATCTTTCTATATGGAAACCCTGGGAACATTACTTTCAATGAATTTGATTGGAATTTAAGTCCTTCATTCTTTGAATTGTGGTAGCCAATCGAGAGACGGTAAAATGTTCACATTAGAGGAAGCTTCTGGAGGTTTCTGAGAACCTATACTAGCTTTACAACTCCCTGATAACTCAAATTATTCTAAAATTAATAATTACAAAAAATTTAAAAATTAGAAAAATAATTACAAAAATAATTCTATCATGACTATTTCTTCATGGGAGTTTAGTTTAGAGACCCAAATAACAATGGCAATACACAATAATAAAGTTTGATTAAATATTTTACAAAATGATTTATCCTTTAGGTTTTCATGGCTCATTCTAAGTTATATAACAAGAGAACTTTACTTATTTCTAATTGTTTGTTACGATAGTGTATTAAAATACATCTGGTACATCCTTTCTTACATTTCAGAATTATTAAGCCTGATTTTTTTCTCGATACTGTTTGACTATGCAGCATTCTTTCATATGATGGCCCAAAGGACTATAAGGGTACATTGTTAGCATTAAATGATTATAAAATTATAAATTGAAACCTACAAAAAAAAATCTGACACAAATTACCAAAGTGCTCAGTTTCTGACCCCAGCTAATGTGATCACTGGGACTACATCATGGTTCCACATGCTAAGTTAAGTTTTGGGTAATTTTAGTGTAGTTTATTGTTTTGAGACAGGCTGACCCAAACTTCACCATCCGAAATGCTGGGATTTAGGCCTTTGTCACAACCACCACACCCAACTCTGATCATTTTATAAATAGCTATCAGAACTGGGTAAAATGCCTGTAATTCTAGTACTTGGAAGGTAGAGAGGGGGACCGGACCAGCGTTTAAAGGTACTTGGCTGTACGGTGAGTTCAAGACCAGCCTGTGCTATGAGACCTTGTCTCAAAAAGCTAAACCAAATTAAGCCAAACAAAAACAACCGTTCCCACTACCACCAAACAAAAATAACTGCCTCAGTCGAGTTCATTGATGTGCTCTTTCTGTCCTGTCCCGACCAGTGCTTACTAAATTTCTGTAAGGAATCTTGTAAATTTCCAGAAGACGATGAACTGGAAGCTGGATGATTGAAGAAGT